ACTGTCAGAAAACATCTCCTTAAAATTTCAGCTTTCTAGCTTCCCTGGCACCTGAGTTAGCAACTTGCTGGAACAAAATTTTCACGAGCCCGTGCGTGTTTACCAAGCATACCCGGGAGTTGGGTTCGAGCGGAATGAAACTTAGGTGGACGAGGTTTATACTCTTAAAATTACAGTGCTTTAGCGTCTCAGGTACTCGCGTTATCAACTTACCCGAAAAAAATTTTGGCAGGCCTCTATGTGGGTGTCACGTTTACTCGGGGGCTGGGTTTGAGCCCACTAATACCCACTTGGACGAGGAGCATAACTCTAAGATTTCAGCTTTCTAGCCTCTCTTTCTAGCCTCCCCGAGTTATGAACTTACCCGAAAAAATTTTGGCGGGCTCTTACGCAGGTACCACGCAGGTAAGACCGCTCATTTCGGGGATGGGAGCCCGTACGTGCATGTAGATTATGTCCTTAAAGTTTCAGCTTTGTAGTTTTTGCCGGTCTCGAGATGAAAAATCGGTACAGACGAACACACAGATACACAGACACACACACAATCAACTACTCGTCAGTATGCGTTTTCTGCATTGCATAGCTGCAAAAAACTCATAATAAATCAGCTTTCATAAAAAGTGAGTCTGTAGCTTGTACTGAATGGTTTAACTGTCTTGATTTTTTTTAAACTACTTGATCCTATTCTGACTGTAATTTATTCAACATAATTATTTAGATCTAGAAACGGATTATGTGTCGCGGGTTTTTTTTTCAGAACACCGAAGATTTTATGGTGAAGAATCTGAAATGTTTGATTATCGACGAAGCGGATCGTATATTGGATATCGGCTTTGAAATTGAAATGCAACAAATTCTTCGGGTCCTTCCAAAAAAACGACAGACGATGTTTTTCTCAGCAACACAAACTGCCAAGGTCTCGTGGTTGCTCCCCACATTTCCAGTTTCAGAATCTTCTCTATATCATTTTACAAATTTTCTGCATTTTTAGGTTGATGAACTTATCAAATCTTCGCTCCGTACGGATGTCGTCCGAATAGGTGTTGACAAAAAGCCTGCAGAAAATGACGACGAACTAGCAACTGTTTCTGGTCTCCAACAGGTTGTGCTTTTTCATGGGAATTATTCGTCTGACTGCTATACGATTAAGCCCGGCGAACATTCGGGTGGTTTTAACTATAGAGTATTGTAGGAAAATCATTTAAGCTAAATGAAGGGCCACTCAGATGCAAAGTGATGAAATCGCGTCGTGAAATTTCTTCAGGAAAAACGAAGATGTGTAAAGGGATTTGCAGCTTCGTTTAAGCAGTGGCATAGGTGGCGCAAAAGTGCGCTACGCAAAATGACAGCTTATCAGAGCATCTCAGCATCACTTTAAGCTCCCTGCATTTGTTGTCTAGAACAGGCACTGTTTCATTGAAACCTGAGATTGCAGGGTTACGTTGTTTGTCCGTCGGATAAGCGATTTTTGTTGCTGTTCACTTTTCTGAAAAAGAATCGCGAGAAAAAAGTTATGGTATTTTTCTCGTCATGCAACTCGGTGAAGTATCATCACGAGCTGCTCAACTACATTGATATCCCTGTGCAGTGCATACATGTAAGATCTTTAGACTTTAAAATGGTCTATTGTTGTCTGTTGTTGTTTCGGCTCATTCTCGAACATTTCCTTGTTTTGTAATATTGTGAAATGCGGAAAGGGTTTACGCCTTGGTTTCTTTTTGAAAGGGAAGGAGACGGGGTTTGAATAAAGAATTGGTTATAAAATGCCATTTATTTTTGAGCAGAGATTGTGTTTTCCTCAAAAATTTCTTAATATTTTCTAGGGTAAACAAAAGCAGCAAAAACGAACATGCACATTCTTTTCATTTTGCCAAGCGAAATCGGGCATTCTGCTCTGCACAGATGTAGCTGCTCGCGGTCTCGACATACCACAGGTCGACTGGATTGTGCAGTATGATCCACCAGATGAGCCACGTGAATACATCCATCGGTAAGTAATTTTGTTTGCTTTTGCTGTGCTTAGCGAAAAACACTGCATGGAGTGGGAGAGAACGCAAATTTCAGCAAAATTTATGCTTATTTTCACACTGGATTACTCCCAGAACCTGCTTTTGGTACTTTGAACAACTGTAGTGTTTAGCTAATGCGCTTTTTCTCACTACTTCAGATAATTTTCACATTCTCCGTTTTACGCTTGCCACATCCACCTAATTCCGTCGTTCCAGCAGTTATTTATGATTGTGACGGTGTTATTTAATAACCCCTTTTGTTCATCTGTTTGTCACATCACTCATCCAGCTTGTTTCTTGACCTACATTGCCTTCACAACTTCATTCTGGTCAAACTGGGACTGCATTACTCCACTGAAGATAGGTCTAAATTTTGTACTTTCAAGTGACAATAGGCTACTGAAACGTTGTACGAAAGAGAAAGTGGTTTACAACATCAAATAACGTGGCTAGCTGTGATCTGTTGCTCTCTTTCATGATAAGTTGTTCATCTTGTTTCCACTGAAAAGGAAGCAGTCAGTCTCATTATGTGATAGTTCGAGAGAAAGAGATCGCAGACGAATGTTTCTTTACGCTCGGATATGCGGAGAAAGGTTCTGTGACAAACACCCAGTGAGCAACCCTATGCTCCACAACAGAGTTGGGGAGGGGGGGGGGGTAGGGGAAAGAAGGGGTTAGTACCAAAATTTCTGTCAAGAAATTTGGTTGTCTTATTAAAGCATGGATATTGATCACCCGGTTCTTTTCAAAAATTCCTTCCCATGAATGGTTGCTGCTTGTTGTGCGTATTAGTATGTATGCAAATACAATAAATAGCGGCGCGCACCAGAGCAGCCAGTGCGATCATGCGTTTGTGCAATTCCGTTCACCGAACGATTGCCTGCTAAAGATTTTCACTGCTTTGCACTTTGGTCTGTGCAAAAATAGTTAGATGTTGTTTGTTTTTTAAGTTGTTGAATTTCCCATTAAAAATTTCGCGCACACGAGATAATAATTTCTCTATTGAAATTTTCACGGGGCTGTATGTGGTACCCAGGGCTGCATGAAGGCTGAATTCAAACTTGCGAAGTCGTACGTCTGTAGAGGAGATCACCCTAAAATTTCAGGTTCCTAATTTCCGCGGTTCCCGGAAGCCAGAACTTTCACGGGGCCGTGAGTGATACTCGGATGCACGGGGAGCTGGATTCAAAATTGCAGGACTGTACGTGGACAGAAGAGATTACCATAAAATTCCAGCTTCCTGGCTTCTACGGTTCCCGAGATAATAATTTTCTCGCCATAACTTTCATGAAGTCGTAGGTGATACCCGAGGGCGTGGAAACGCTGAATTTGAATTTGTGGGGTCGTACATGGGCAGAGGGTCATAACCGTAAAACTACAGCTTCGCGGATTCCGTGGTTCCTGAGGCAACAGTTTGCCTACCAAAATTTTCACAGGGCCGTTCATGTCACTCGCAGCAGGAGAAAACTGAACTTAAATTTTCTGGGTAGCACGAGGACATGCCCACAAAATTCCAGCCTTCTAGCTCCCTTGATTCCTGTGATAATAACTTTAGCGCCCATACTTTTACGGGGCCGTACGTGTTACCCGTGGGTACAGGGAGGCTGATTTTAAAATTTGCGGAATCACACATGGGTGGGGAACGTCCCCCTAAATTTTCAGCTTCTTAGCTTTTGTGGTTTCCGAGTTGAAATTTGCGGACACACACACACAGAAAACCCCGTGACAGTGTGCGTTTTGTACTGCTGTTACACAGCTCAACACGCATAAAAACTCATATTGTGACGACCCCGGCTTGCGTGTATGTTTGTGAAAATAAAATTCTTCCCTAGTGACACATACTATATCAGAGCAGGTTGGTGTGCTGTCAAATTAGCATGGTGCTTAGGCAATAATCAGATCATAGAAAGTGAGTAGTTTCAAAGGAAGTCTGTTTGATGGCTTTTCGTCTCTCCGAAGATCATAGCATTGCATTTCAGAGTTGGACGTACGGCACGTGGCATTTCGGGAACCGGTCATGCATTGTTGATTTTACGCCCCGAAGAGCTGGGATTCCTTCGCTACCTAAAACATGCCAAAGTTGTGTTGAACGAATATGAATTTTCGTGGAGTAAAGTGGCCAATATACAACCGCAGTTGGAGAAACTCATCGCCCAGAATTATTATTTAAACAAATCTGCTAAGGTCAAACTTCATAAA